TAAAACTCATGTTAAGTTTTACACAAGTTTTGACGTCCTCCGTGGTCGAGTGGCTTGTAACACGTTTTTTTGGTAGATCTTGTAAATTCAAACAAAAACAAAATTTCTCTTCTCTCCTTGATATTCTGCATTTTATTTTTAATTTATTAAGGCTTTGGCAAAGCCATAAGCCAAACATGAAGTTTAATTATGTTTCTGTAAATATGGCCGCTTTTGCGCAAAGGTTTTCATGGTGTCACATAAGACTTGACATCTAGTGTCTCTGGGTGACGGGTACAGTGGTGCCTCTCAGATATTTGCGATTTGTTATGGACAGACGTGTCAAAATCTTAATTTCATAGGTAAGTAAATATCGTCATACTGATTAAAATCTACTGCTCGTTCGTAAGGCAGGTTCCCCTAAGAAGAATGAGCAAGAAACTCTAGGGGTTGCTTTTTGTAAATATACATTTGAATACATTTATCATTACAATATTTAACTTAAAGATCTTAAGATCGAGAATACCTGAAAGATCTAAACGAGTCACCTACCACGGATTTTGTTATCCAAGTGCGCGGAAGTTATATAAGTTATATACAGGCTGTATATTTGAAAGTGACACATATTCATGCATGTTATAGTAAATCATGTTACAACTTAACATAGACTAAAATAAAATTAGGATATGGGGTAGAACAAAAAATAAATCAACAAATTTGTTTTGGAGTGTACCTAGGAATAAACCGATTCCCTTTACGCTTGATTTAGAGTGCATTGGGAATACTACCAAGCGAGCGCCGAGTGAGACAGCAACAATAACATTGATTTCACATCTCTCTCTCACCTACTCAATTATGGTATGATGAAAAAGCTGTTATCGAAATGATTACGTTTTAGCTTATGTTAATTATTTTTTACTTATGAACTATCATCGAAATGTGTTACGTACTAAAAAAGATAATTATCATTTAACAGGAATTGAGGTTTTTGGTGTAGTTAAAAATGTGAAATAAAATTATTTACAATGATTGATTTTTTAATTATTTACAGTTTATTTACACTACGTGGTACGGCGCAAGTATTTGAAATATCCACCGTTTTCCACAATGCATAGTCTAGCACGTCGTAGTAAATTTTGTTTTAAATTGATCAACACAAACACATTTTGTCTCACAGTATAAAATGCTGAGATAATCCTCTCATGCAACAACTTCGACACTGTTCACCTCCTCCGCGTAAACTCCAATTTGGGAACATTTCAATAGCTCGACTCACACTATCACCACTTATTGCGTAAAGTCGCACCATCTCAGTCAATTCGACGTTAGAATAAATAGCCATTTTGCAGGCGAGGGGCGCGTTCACCGCCGGCGCAGTGTTCGGGCGAGCGGAAGTACAAATAATTTAAGTGTCTTCGCCAAGATCGCGCGTGCACTGTCTCAGCAAACAGTGCCGACCTGTACTTTGTTCTCGCCGCTGCGTCAGTCGGAGCAATAATAGCGATGTACATAGATTTCGATAAGTAATTTTCACAAGTAGTAGTCGATAAAAAAAAATAAAAATATATTTTTTGTCAAGTTTAAGTTTATTATTTTTTTGGGTTCAGAATCAGGAATAAAACGCACTCTATAAGTATGTCTCACTTTCAAATATAAAGCCGTATATGCGTATAAGTAAGTATAATACTTTAGTATAAAGTTTTTGTTTCACAAGAGTTTTAAACCTCGTAAATGGCAAATTTTGAATATCAATCGGAATCTTATTATAAAAACGTATACATTGCCCCGTAAACGACTGTCAAGAACCGCTAGTTTATTTGTATTCCTCGTATTAATGTTATGTCTGTCACTTTTTTATTTAAAAAAAAATACTTTTCTTAACATAAATGTTTTCATAAATGTATTGTGACGTTAGTGTAAGAATGTTAATCTTTTTAAACTTATCTCTCATATAAACTCTGGGGCCCAGATTATAAATTGCCCTAACCGCACGTTTCTGCAGGGCAACTATTCTATTATTTTCAGTGGCATTGCCCCAAAGCAAAATGCCGTATGTCATTAAACTGCGAAAGCAGCTGTCGCTTGCCACCAGGCGCACAACTTGTTCATTCAATCACTCAGTAAAAATAAAAAAAAGACAGAACTGGATGTGCACGCAGTTAGTTTTGCGGGAACCAAAATGCTGTGTGAACGGGCCGTTAAATGTATAAAAGAACAGTTTACTTACCAAAAATGGTATACATATGAAATATCATCATAAGAGTATGCCTAACTTATGTTTCAAAACAAATGTACAAGGATATCACATCGAATAGGCTGGTCTCAGATTAAAAAAAATCTTTGTTCTTTTAAGTGCAAGCAGTATCATAAAATAATATTAGCGTATCTAATTCGAAATTCCAATACGTACCTACCTATACGCAACGGAATACATATTACATTGTAAATGGGCCCTTTAACCTTCTTTTAGTTTTCAAAAACGTATAATAATATTTTTTTAATACAGTTGCTCAAAACGTGGTATTTTTCGTACTACAAATCGTGGCGAAAGTTGGAATTTTCGCACTAGTGCTTTTTACTTTTCCATTTTTTTTAAATTTACTGTTGTTTCAAATCTTAAGCACAGAACTAAAGAAGTTGTATATTTATGTGCTTTGTGACGTAAGTCATTCATCATTAAAACTTATATTTATTTACAAATACTATATAATGAACGAATCGAGTGGAGGTCCACAGTCTCTGCCTACCCCTGAATGGGTGACAGGCGAGATTTTTATGTATATATTTGTTCTATGTATTACAGATAAATTGTATCTCACTACCGTGCACGGGTTCCTAAAGAAGTTTAAACAAAAGTACCAGGACTTCATAATAAGAAAAGTGGTTACAGACCGATATTACAGAAAATAAACAAAAACAGCACTTTAGAACTAGATTTCCATAGACTTTTAAATAATGGTTGCAGTGGTTTATTTCATTATTTTAATTTACTAGCAGAAAATGAGTTTTTTTAAAATACTGTTTTATTTTACTTTCAATGTAGCCTCGAGACTCGTGAATAATGACTAACTTTCCGCACTTGTATCAAAAATAACTATAATTACCTCGACGTTTTGCACTAGTGTTTGTTAAATAAATAATGAGGATCAGGTATGGGTAGTTAGAAAAACTCGCACGGGTAGACGGGTAGATAAGATGCTGACACCTTTCGAGACCAACGACGTTGCAATACGTCTGAAACGTCGACGTAATTAAAACATGTTTTATACATGATTAAGTCCCAAATTAAAAACCAAATTATGTGCGAAAATCGTGAAAGCTTAAATCAAAGTTTATTAGTGGCGAATCTGAATTTTATTTACTAGGCAACAACATTTAAATTCCTCTGAATAATACAACCGCGCGGCCGCCGCGTGGACCAAATTCGAGCCAGATTCACCCCACGTGCCCGGGACGCTCATTTAAGTTAAAACGTAAAAGCAAAACAAATAGCGTATTTTGTCAAGACAGTACGTGTAGCTACGGAAGCTAGATGGCGACACGGCTAAATAGTCGTTGAAAACCAAATACAAAGATCCGACAAAGAAGCACATAGAAAAATTCGTGAGGTCCGCTGGTTCGTTCCGTAGCTTAATTGGCATAGCGTCTGTCATGGCTTACTAGAAGACGTCGGTTCGAATCTGGCCGGATCGAAGTATTCTTTTCTAAGTGTTCTAATTAAAACATAGTGGAATAATTTCACAAAAAATAATTGACTATCAATTCAATACAAATAACAACTGACAACTAGTACATTTCTATTCCTCGTTTTAATGATTTGTCTGTTTTAAACTAAAATAAGGAAAAATTACTATTGTTTTTAACACAAATTACATTTTCATAAATGTACTGTGACGTCAGATGAGTGAGAGAGAAACTTGGAAACAAGACGGTGAACGGACTCGAGGCTCAAATTGAAATACGAAATTTTTTTTATTAACATTTATATTTTTATGAACTTATTACTAGTATAAGGCATGATGAAAACAGTATGGCCGGGGTGTTCGTCTAGCGCGCAGCTAGCGCGTCTTAGCAGCGATCTAGACCATGTCAAGACGAGGGCCTAAGGCGAGGAGACGCGCGGGACACGTGAATTGCCATTTAAGTCAGGAGCTAAGTCCGGTCATTGTCTGAGGACACTGCTCCGGCACTAGCCCTGAGAGCTGGTAGAAGATGAGCCAAACATCCTCAGGTCCCTCCAGTCGCGTAGAAATTTGGGTACTGGAGAGTTGTTTCGGCGTCGGGAAGTGAGCGTGTCTTACTGCTCCATGAGGAGATTTAGTAGTCGAATTAAAGTCGACGGTTCAGCGGTAGCAACCGTTCGTCACGCCCACAGTGAGCGTGCCCACAGTTCTGGTACTTATCTGGAATATAGGGAGGGTGCTGTACGTGCACCTGGGGCTGCTCACCTAAGGCACAAGGCCTTGTGAGAACCGGATGAAGTCCGTGCAGTTACAGGCTGATCTGGGTTTAAAACCCAACTTAGATGATCCCGGTGCGGGCTTGAAGGCACAGGTTATAGTGTCCTTCCCGCATAATCAAGAGGTTGATAGAGAGGGTAACTATAAAGAAAACTTATATAGAAAGATATGAGGTTGTTTCATGTACACGAGACTATATGGGATATACCCTTTTTATCCCTTGATGTACCCAACCTTATTTGTATTGGGTATGGTTGGATCCAACAAGTTGGAACCAAGGAGGGACTTGGCTCTCGCAAGTTACATAGTGCGAGTATTGCGAGGTAAAATTTCAAACCCAGGAGTGCTGCAATTACTCTGTCTATACGTGCCAAGCGAGTACGTGCACTGATGCCGACGACCACGGCTGCTGGCGGTGCCGTGAGACAGGGCAAATCTGCTCAACAAGGTGCCTCTTAATCACTCCATTCACACACTAAATCGAGTAGCTGAAGAAATAGACATTTTAAATTCTTTTAACAGCGAGTTCATGAAGGCAACACTGTTTTTGGCCACAAATTGGCCTTAATGACTTGTTATTAATTTTCAATAATCAATGTGATTATGACGTTATAGGTTGTGCTACACTATTGTATTGGGATGGTCCTGTAAAAATAGCAGTATGAATGAAATAAATAAATGTAGTTTGTATTATTTTTATGGCTGATAAAAGTAATTTTGTCCTATGTTTTATTTTACCATGGGTACAAGAAGCCTTAACAGTTAGGGCTTGTTTTTGGTATCAATTTTCGGATTGGTAGCACCAATGGCTTTGCCAATGAGCCATTTCTTCTCGAGTTCCCACCCATAATCCCAATCTCCCTTCAAGAATTTCTTCCAGAAATCCTTGGGTGGTTTGGTTCTCGGTGGCTGGACCGCATGGGGACCAAACTTTTCCTTGTTTCTTTCTAGTTCTGCAATAAGATCTGCAACCTGAAATTAAAATAGCAATAAAATGATTACTAGCACTTGCCATCTTGTCGCAACTAATGCATTTGCATGTCGGTAACTTTAGAAATATCGTCGGGCGTAGTGCAAATCCGCGTATGTAGTATTGGTAAAAAGCGCGTAACTGCATTAAACTAAATTTGACAGGAGAGGGATTTAACGTTATTACTTTGTTATTTCAATGGCTACTACTTTCATTCTTGCACAGTAAGCATTAATTTATGTTGTCTACGGACTGATAACAATAGATCCCCGTAAATCACGCTAATTTGATTGCCACAACATTTACGCGGATTTAATTTGGCGATAAAATTACCGAAATGGAGACTCATAATCAAATGCTAGTTACGCGTAATTGCACAATATTGACACTTGAAGTTTTATTGTCACCTAAAACAATGTCAATAACGCTGAGTTTGCTTATCGATAAAACTGAAACTAAATAAGATATCAAAAAGTCGATTGGAGAGGGTTGTAGGTGTCGATTCGCTGATTATGCGGATATGTTAATAACTCAATATTTTAATAACACAAAGGGACATAGTTTTACAGCTGTACATAGCACATTGGGAAATCAATACAAAACAACGATAAAGTACGTTGTTTAAAACTCAAATTATTATGAATACATAAATAGATACATAAATTGTTATTAAAATTAAAACAATCTTATTGCAACGTGTAATAAATATATTATTGTCGAAATTCATTTAATTCAAACGTAATAGGATCGCCACAGGACAGGCTTCGCCTAGTGTAGGGCCATCGAGTATATAACCAGATATAGAGACCAAATGTCATTTCATTTGTTTGAAAACTATTCTGCCATATCATTACTGTGACAACTGCGCTCTGATTGGCCAGCCCGAATTCGAATGACGGGTGTCGTCAATGTTTCTTGAGCTTTGCTTACCGATGATATGTGATTCCGTTTGTGTAATTGGATGTTTTGCTGGTATTTCCCACACTACCGAATGGAACAGCCCCCATTGTTAGAGATATTATCTTTATTACAATAAATACATAATATTTTTGGAATATACGGAGACGTACACACAGGTCAGTTGTTGGCGCTGTACTATTTCAGCTTTCTTATTTGTGATTTCAGCGCAAACGAGAGTTGATATTTAAAAGTGATATAAGGTACATTTGCCTGATGAGTTGCCAGGGATGGATTATTTCGTTTCTATTTCTGGTTATATACTCGACGTGTGGGACTAAGTGTAACCATGCACACTTCCAGGCATGACATTTAAAAAAATACTCTTGCAGTGCTCTTGAGGGAAATATTCCAAAACACACTTACCTCTTTTCCTCCTGGGAACTTGTCGATTACTTCAGGAGGCCATTTGTCCACTGGACCGTATTTATCGACGATTTCGTGGTATATATCAACGACTTTGTCGTTCACACGCTTTATAGTCTCCCTGTCCTTGTTAACTTTATCTTTCCTCTCTTGAACCCTTTTATCGTAATCATCTTTCATGTCGTTCAACTTCTGATCCAGATCATTAGCCAAATTATCGTCTGTGAATAATAATACAATGTTTATTGTTACTGTAATATATTCATTGAAAGATACTTTATGTGTTACGATATTCTATTGAATAATTTATATATGTCAAACAATTCCATGACAACCCTTTACTTTGGTATATTACTGAATCAATAATCAAATATCAAATATCAATGAAACTCTCTGCGTTGTTATTTGATGGTGATCTGTAGATGCATAATACAATGTTATTTAATATATCTAGTTGTAAACAAGAGGCTCCGGACAGTTAAGTTTCCTTTATCTTATAACACAATGGCTTCTTAACATATACCACCACCCCATCATTTTGATTAAGTTGGACGGCTGTAGAGAACAGGTCATATTTAGAGAGTGAGGACAGTGGTTTATATTCATTAATTCTGCACTCCGTGATTACTATTGCATCAATATCGATAGAAAACTAGAAAGCGTAATTAAAAAGTCTTCAAAATGACAATAAATGCTCCTGATGTCTTGAGAAATCAGCGTGAAGTCATTTTTTTCAAAAGCCATGTATTTATTTAAATTAGGCACTTCACATTCGAACGAGAGGGCAATTTCAAGTCCATCAATATCATTTATATATTTATTGCGTCATCCATTTATATTTACAAAAGTGGTAAGCACGTCAAGAAAGAAACTAATTGTTGTCGATTTCGAGTATGGTACAATGTTGAGGCTGTTTTGCGTACGTAATAAGGTTAGATGTATATGTATATATATATATGTTATTACACTGGTAGGTGTAAATAATATTGTATATGAATGGATTTTTAGGTTTTAGATGTGGAGTATATATATTATATAATTATATGCTACAAGATGTTCAAGATACGAGTATGGGTATGACTTGATTGCGGTATCGGTATTTTTATGTAGGTAAGTATTATTAATAAGAAAATACATAACGTAATAAGTATGTTGATAGTAATATAAATAGTTCATTGTAATATGGGACACACAGAATATGTATTTGAGACAGAATTGCGCAGGTTTAAACTCATTGGAATACGGCCGTGGGCTGAGAAAGCGGGCAAGAAAACCTTGGCCTTGTACTAGTTCACCGCCTATATGGCTGTCTGTGCCATCTGGTCGACGTGTCTCTTGCAGGTAACACCGTCATCTGTCTCGACAAGGTAGTGGACGTAACCCAGTACTCGTAAAACAGTTCAGAATTCCTATTTTCTGTTTTTCTTGTTGCTTCGTATTTGTACTCTTTCGCCCGGTGAAAAAGTTTTTGTCTGCAGGTGTTGGACGTTCTTGTTATTTCGTGTTATTTGTTACAGTACTCCTATATCGCACATGTATAGATGTCCTCCCTCCTTTCCAAACATGAGTTCATATGGGCTTTTCCCTATGCTGGTACTGGGCGTCCTTCTCAAATGCTCCTTAATTCCCACTATGTTTTCCTGTATGGTGCTCGAGCCAGCGATCGCGGCTTGCAATGCCCTCTTGGCCGACTGGACCGAACGTTCCGCTTGCCCGTTTGTAACCGGGCCATACAGACTGAACTTTTGTGAACTATTTCATTGTTTTAGACAAATGATTTGAACTCTTTGATAGAAATTGCCTTCCGTTATCTGATACAATTACTTCCGGATATCCAAATGTTACCAATAATTCTTTCAGTTTTGAAATGCATCATGAATTGATTATCGTCTTAGTGAGAATGATATTTATCCATTTTGAAAATGCACCCACGATGATGAACAAAGACTGTTTTTGAATAGAACCCGCAAAGTCTATGTGGAGTCTCTGCCAAAGCTATAGAGGTCTCCTAGGGATGGTGAGGCGCCCTTACTGCCTTGTTCTGGCTTATCCTACATTCACGGCATCCTCTAACTAGGTCCTCAATGTCTTTATCGATGTTTTTCCAATAAACAAAATTCTAGGAGTTTTATTTTCACAATTCCTATGAGACCAGTATGCATGTCTTCCAGTATTGCCTGTCTCATCGCGGTTGGGATCATCACTCTGGTCCCTTTCAAAATTCATCTATCCTGCAACTTCAGTCCGTTGTCATTGTAACCGTGTCGCGTCACACTCGTTCCTGACCGCAAAACCTGTAATACAGCCTCGTATTCAAGATCCCTTTGAGTCTCATCAGCAATCGCGGAAGCCACAATTAACGTCAATAATGTTTGTTGCTGTTATTTCAACTGGGAATCTGCATTACTGTTATCTGCTGATGTTCTCTATCTATGCTGTAGTCGAAGCCAGAAAGGAAATGTGCGTAGAAAAGAGTCTCATTGTGCTCATTTCCTGTAGTGTTTTATACGGATAGAAGATTGTCGTTAACGGTTTGTGATCCATGATTAGTATAAACTTCCTACCATAGCAGTCATAAAAGAATTTTTTTAGTCCCCAAAAGTTCGCTGGCGGTGAGTGAGCGCGACACAAAGGCAATGGGCCTGTCCGAGCCATCTGCCAGTCTGTGAGAGAGCTCCGCCCCGAACCTGCTGCATTAAGCGTCTGTAGCGAGTACTAAAGGTAAAAATCGTAATAGACCAAAATTCGTTCACTGAGAATTTCTTGTTTAATCTTATTGAATGCCTCTTCATAATTAAGTGACCGTGAATTCTGTATCTTTCTTAATGAAGTTATTCAGTGGACATGAGATAGATGCTAAGTTGGGAATGAACTTATTGTTATAATTGGCCATGCGCAGAAAGGTACGTACTTCACTAATATTGCACGGGCGATGCGTATCTAGAATTGCTCTGACCTTATTTTTGGTTTTGTGTACACCGTCCTTATCAATAGTATGTCTGAGGTATTTAATATTTTTTTGCATAAAATGACATTTGTCTTTGTTGAGTTTTTTTTCAAGTTGCTTTCTTTCAGTTTTTGTAATACTACTCGGAGTCTACTAAGCAATTATCTATTCGTTGATCCTTATATGATAATATCATCAAAGAAATAATTGATCTCAGCTATGTCCTACAGCAACCTATCCATGAACTTTTGTAGCAGGTTATGTGCCACTCTAACGCCGAACATGAGGTGGTTGACCCTGAAAGTTCCCTTGTGAGTGCCCAGCATCTGCATCATGGCATTCTGTTCATCCATTGGCATATGTAGGTAAGCCTGGCTAATATCTAACGTGCAGAATACTTCGCCCCCGTTCATCTCCACCAAGATGTCTTCTATATAGGAATCGAATACTGTTCGTTTTTAATATTTTTATTCAGTGTGACCTTGTAGTCGGCACAGAGATGGATACTCCCGTCGGGCTTTACGATCGGCACAACAGTTGTACCCCATTCGTAATTATCTACTTTCGTAATGACAGACCTTGTTGACAGAGCCGTTCCATTTCCTCGTCTACTTTTTCTTTTAGTGCGTATGGAATACGTCTCGGCTTCACGAAAATAGGTGTGGTGTTATCTTTTAAAGCGATATGCCCTCTATAATAAATGCAGCCTAATGTGCCGTCGAACACTCAAGCGTACTCCTCTAAGAGGTCTTTTATCTGGGAATGGGTGTACTCCTTGATGACATTGATGTTAGCTAGGTTCAATTTTACCAAACGTATCCTTCCACGACGAAATGCAGGATCAACATCTTGCTTAATTATGTAGAGTTTACGTAACACATAACCTCCAAAACTTCAAACTAGAATATCCTTAATTCCAGACATCTCAGAATAGTAAACCCAAAACAAAATTTGTTCAGGAATTTCAACTTTATATTTTCACATATTTTTCATAAACAGACGCATTCAAATTATGTCAACAAAAATTTATATGGGAGTTTGCCATTGTTCATTGACAACTTATATGATCGTTTATGGAGTGCCTAATAAATTAAACTGAACCCTGTTACATTACGATTGAAGTGTTAACTGGTTCCGCCATACGTATACATATACGACTGGTCGAGTGGGTGAGAATGTTTTCCTGACAACTTACAGGCATCATCATCATCAGGATCGCCATCAGGATTGTCTGAAAGAAAATATGTATATATCGGTTTATTTTAACAAACCTCCTTTCCTTTGTTTTGATATTGTGACCACAAACGAAAAACGACAATGGAAGTGCAATAAGCCTAGATTACTATTGGAAAAGACGACGCCAAAACGCGCACAAACAAATGATAAACACTACGAAATCTTGATTGTGATTGGTCATAGTTTCTAATTTAAAAAGATGTAACATATTCTGGATTGTTAATATAATTTAAACTTTATCCTATTCGCATATCGTTCGAAGTTCAATACCTCTATTGCAAGTTACAACGTTTTGATTTTATATGGACAGAAGGACAGCGACAGCCCGTGTATTTTGTGACCTAGTGTTTTAACGACATGCATTTAAGAGACCTATCAATACTTGTGATTCATTATCAAAGCATCAAATAACCTAGTTAAATGCAGCCTGTAGAAGCTGGGGTTATATAGGTAGTTGATATAAGTTATGTTTACAACATTGTCCTTTATTTCGCTTCAGATGTGTGACCAGAGAAGGGCACGCGCCCGGGTATCAATATAAAAAATAGAGCGAACGTAAAAACTTGAATCGGTTTTATTTATTCGGTAATTGTAACAAATTCCTGCTCACAATTTTGGGCAGAAATGAAAAATAAAACCCGGGTGAGTTGATATGATTTTAACCTACAGCCCATCTCTGGTCGTGACTATGGGACATTTCCGAAACATCGAGTCGCACACCGGGGCCAGTCCATACAAAGTAATCTTCAAAACTCATATTTCAAAATGTGGGTATTTAAAAAATATATACATTAGCGTAGTCGTAACAAAACAAAACGCGTAAAAATACTGAGTCGCCAACTACTGTCAGTTGTGACGTGAAGACAGTGAATGAAGAAGTGAAGAAATAATAATTATACCGTAATCGTGACTTTATGAGCATAACTTTAGAGATTTATTTCGTTCGTTTGATGTTAAAATTGTTTTTAGTGCATTATGTCAGTGTCCAAGCGAGGTATGTTCTCCTAACATTAAATTTATATTGAATTGATATTCAATTATTTTTTGTGAAATTACTCCACTGGTTTGTTATAAGCGCCATCTGTGAGAAATCTATGAAAGAAGTTAATTACCCAGTTAGGTAACTTTACAGATGAGACTACGGCTAAAAAAGTCGTTAAAAACCGAATACAAAGATCCGACAACTAGCACATATTAACTGCCTCCGTGGCCGAACGGCTACCATGCCACGCAGAGGTCCCAGGTTCGATTCCCGGGCCGGGAGAAATATTTGTATGACCTACGTTTATTTCTCTCGTGAGTTTGGGTGTAATTTGTGGTTGTCTATGTGTGTGTCCATGGCACCCGCGACACAGGGTTTCCCTAGTGCGGGGCTATGTTGAGTGTGTGCGTTATTATTATATTCGTGAGGTCCGCTGGCTTGTCCCGTGGCTTAGTTGGCATAGCGGTGCTGCTACGGTTTGCTAGAAAACGTCTGAAAGGGTTGTAACCCTAACTAGCCGTGAACAGGTTCACGGCAATGAAATGGGATCCGGTCCACAAAATTTATTAAAGAAGTAAAGTTTAAAGAAAAGGCTGTAACAATAAAAGGTAAATGTAAAAAAAACAGGTACAACAGAATAAAACAATCCCTACACTTTATTTTGAAGGCACTTACCCCTAAATGGGCCGAGTAACTGAATTACAGAATTAGGTACACGAAGGCTGTAGACTTATAAATTAGTACACATGATTTAACTTATTAAATGATTGCAAACGTAGTAAAGAACCAGAATTAGCGATTATTCGCGATGGAATTTGGAACAGCTCCGACTGTTGTGGCGGTCGAGCTGGGAGTGACCGTGGTACGAAAACAAAATGAGAAAGTGAAGGAAGATGGAACAATTCAAATTTAAATACATGCAAAATAAAAAATGATAGGATACAAGCGGAGAGAGGCGATACAAAGAGGTAAGATGACGGTGTAAGGAGGTCACACCGTCTCACGTCCGTTCGAATACGGCCGGATTTAAGGGATTTCTCCTAACATTTTTATTATTTCATAAGTTTATCGGTATCCGATATACGACTAATAAATTTGTAGAGTGCCTTTCATAAAGTTAATAGCCAATTAAATATTATTTTCTCGAAAATGATTCTAATAAAATAAATTCTATAGCAGGTTTGCACAGTTTACTAATATACAAAGCTATCCGTACATTGACTTACAAATAAATGGACGACGGGTCTAATACAAAAACCACG